AGAACGAAGTGCACAAGAACTGGAACAGATCGGCGTATTTCATGAGATCAGTGCCCTGATGCTACTCAATGTTAATGAGAAACTGCGTGCTGAAGAGAGCCTGCATTCACACTTCATGATCTCAATGTTGAACAAGGACTGGTCAACCGGCTCACAATCATCAGCCTCTCGGGGCAGCTCACACAGAAGCATCCGGTCAAGCTCGATGCCACACCAGGGGGCGTAGTGAGTCAAGATAAATCACAAACGGAACAGGGAGACCTTAACCGCATCCAACAACAAGCGGCCATGCAGCCAACTCATGGATAGGCTCAAGATCGCTTCATGGAACATGCGAGGGTTAGGTGACACTGGGTCGTTTCAAGCGAAGAAGACTGAAAAGCTGGATTCACGAATGGAGGATCAACTGTATGTTAATTCAGGAAACCAAGTTTGATGAGGGAAAATTGACAGAGATACGGAACTGGTGGAATGACCCGTAGGTCTGGGCCCCGGCGCAGGGAACAAGGGGAGGAGTGGGCATTTTACTGCACAAGGAACTGCATATGCGGGTGATTGACTCGGAGGCGGATATTTGGGGCCGGTGGGCGTGGTTCAGGCTGGAGATTGGAGGGGAGGAGTGGGTAATTATGACTGTCTACGCACCACCGGAGGCAGGGGAAAGAGCGAGGTTCTTCACTAATCTATGCTCAAACATCCCTAGAATAGATAGTCAGATCATCGTCGGGGACTGGAACCAGTCATAGGACGAGGCCCTGAAACCAGAATCAAGAATTGCGGACAGAAAAAACGTACTGCCTTGCTGGCACTGGCGGAAGAGTTGAACCTCGCGGACCCTTACAGAATCCTGTCCCCTGAAGACCCAGGCTACACCTGGCAGTCCCACATACAGCGTCAAAGGGGTGGACAAGGGGGAGGAGTGACCAGGAGGAGATTAGACTATTTCCTAACCGCTATTCCAATTTTGGAGGGTGTCACAAGGGTGCAACAGATCTGTAATCCACTGTCGGATCACAAGCCTGTAATGGCAAACATCAAACTACAGACAAGCAGCGAATGGGGAAGGGGTTTTCTCAGACTGAACTCCCAGATCTTGGAGGACCTTGGTCTCCGGGATTGGGTAGGACAACACATGAGGGACAGGGTGGGAGCCAAGCATCTATTTCAGACGGTGGAAGATTGGACTGATGGTGGCATTGCCATAGTCTCAGGGGTACTTGATGTATGCTCCAGGATTATGGCAAAGACTAGGAACCAAAAGGAAACAGTGTGCAAGCGGAGGCGAGAATGGAGGAACACCCAATCTCGGCCTTAACGTGGGCTGCAGAGAGGGAGAGGAGGCTAGCAGAATGGGAAGACTTACAAACAGAGAAAGAAAGAAGGTGGATTGATCTGTTGAAAGAAAAGGGTATAGAGACAAGTGACAAGATGAACAAGGAAACATTTCAGAAGCTCTTACCTCGACGTTCGTCGCAGCAGATGGTCGAATTGAAGCACCCGTTCAACGAATCAGCGCCAAATGCATCCACAACATTCGGAATGTTGGAGTACGCCAAGATATACTACGAAGACATTCTCACCACGCGCAAATCGCAAGACAGAGTGGACACAGATCTCACAGCAGTGTCGGATTTATGGGAGGACACCCAAGTGAGAGTACCACCAACAGCAAGATTGGATTTAGACAGGCCACTCACCCTCGAAGAAACCACCCAAACACTGAAGGCCATGGCGAGGGGTAAATCTCTAGGATTGGACGGGCTGATTGTGGAGTTCTACGCGAAATGTTGGGAAGAGATGGGTCCCCCACTGGTGGAACTGTACAACAGGGTACTGACACGAGGAAGGTTGGGTAAGAGGATGACACACGGCGTGATCTTTGTCCTATTCGAGAAGGGAGACAAAGCAGAAGTATGTAACTGACACCCGATCTCCTTGTTGAACGTGTTATATAAAATCCTAGCCAAGACGCTGGCCGGAAGGCTGGGACGATATCTACCTGAGCTGGTAAAAAAAGACCAAGGTGCTTTCGTTCAGGGCCGGTCCATCTTCAACAACATTGCCACGGCCATCGAGGTCCTTGAGGTAATACAAGCGGAGAATCTTGACACAGCAGTTCTCCTTCTTGACTTGGAGAAGGGGTATGACAATGTTGGTTGGATGTTTGTCATGACCACTCTCAGGCATATGGGGTTCGGGGTAGGCTTCTGCAAGTGGGTGGTAGCACTCTACACCTTTTCCACCGCAGTGGTTATGGTCAATAACCATCTCTCACATTCGTTCAGCCTCACAAGATCACTGCGCCAGGGTTGCCCCCTGGCCCCCCTACTCTTCGTACTTCAGATGGAAGTCCTGCTAAACCGCATCAGGAAACATTGATTAATAAAGGGCATCCGTTTGAATGACATGGCGGAGTGTAAAGTTAAGGCGCAGGCGGACGACTTATTGGCAGTATGTGAGAACACTGTGCCGGCGATGTCTTCCTTGAAAAGTGTTATGCAGGAATAGTCCACCTTATCCGAGGCCTCGGTTAATTGGGCTAAGTCCTCTTGTCTGTTGCCAGTCCAGTTCAGTTTGTGTGTAAAATGGGGAATGAGGAGAATAGAGGAAGGAGAAGAGGAAAGGTTTTTAGGAGTATTGATTAGCCTCCAAGTGAGCAGCTCCTCACAAGGCGTGCTCCTCCAGAGCCGTATCACAACCAGACTGAACCTGTGGGCGACCGCATGACACTTATCCTTGATAGGGAGAGCACTAGTGGCAAACGTAGCTCTCTTCTCGATCATCTGGTTTGTTTGCACTGTAAAAGAGATTGCAGCAAGCATCCTCAATGTCGTGCGCAGATTGGTAGCCCGGTTCCTCTGGAAGCCACACTCAAAGAAGGATGAAGGCTTTATAACGAAGGTGGCGTGGGATCTGATCACGTTCCCCCGCACGCAAGGAGGTCTGAGTCTTTGGAATTTAGCACAGAAGAACCAAGCTCAACTGAGATCCTGGGTGAGCAAAGTCGCTGTTGCAGACATCAAAGAAGATTGGGTCCTCCTAGCAGAAAGACTGCTAATGAGGGAGTGGGGCCTCAGCAGACCGGAGGATGTCTGGGTTGGCTTTCTCATGGACCCTTTCAGAAGGAAACGTCCGAGGTCACTCTTCTGGAAAGCGATTTTGAAGGCATGGAGGAACCTTCCGCCCGATACCCCTACACCCCCGCGAACCAAAGAAGAAGTGTTGGCTCAACACCTCTTCGAGAACCCCCGAATACGTATGCAAGAGGGTTCTATTTTTCTTGCAGATGGGTCTGCAGGGTCTTTCGGACTGGCATGGATGCGGAAAGGAGTTACTAGAATCCAGGACATTTGGTCCCCCCTGCTGGGAGGTTGGGAACCGTGTGCAGAGATCAGGTCCCGATTGAACGGGCTCAGACGTGTGGAGGAAAATGGAACCTGCTAAGAGAAGTCATTCCCCAAGACTGGTGTGAGATTTTGAGCCCGGCGAACGTTGATCCAACAGGTACCTGGTTCGCTACACATGGGCAAGAGGAGGATAATGTGGTATGGAAGATGACAGAGGTCCTGCCAAGCGGGTTCAGAAGAGTGGAAAGATGGAAATGTGAGGGACAGGGGGGCAGGTTGAGGCTGGTGGGTAGCGTCATAGTCCAAAGGTGGAGCAACCCGCCTCAAATCCGGGTGGTGGAAAGACTGGAAACCGGGAGCCCTCTGAAGTCCTTCGTCTGGATAGGCAAGACCACACTCAGACAACTACGGATCGACCCAACGGCCTGGAGTTGTAACAGACCAAATTCAGCTGGCCCTCAGCAGTCTCAGCTGTCTCTGTTAGACTACAGCTCAAGGGAGGGGTACAACCTCGCCTACAAAGCCGCGAGAACACCAGCCGGGGTGGCCGTTTCCAGGTGGACAACGGTGCTAGGCACAGATCTTCCGCTGACAGAAGAGAATTTTGGCAATCTGTGGAAAAGTCTACATGGCCTGCCAAATGGCAAACAAGTGAGTATCCTCTGGCTGTCGTCTCTATTTGTCACACCATCAGCTGTGTGGCTGTTATGTCGGGGAATGGAAGTAGAACTGGGTTGCTGCAGATGCCGCTGGCCTTTTGAGTCCACAAGGCATCTATGGTGGGACTGTCCAGCGTCAAAGCGAGTATGGAGTTGGTGGAAACTGCATTGGGAAGAAATGGGTGAGAAGATGGTAAGGTGGGATAAGAGTTGGGTATTGCTGGGTTTCCTTCCCACAGGGATGAAGGGGTCTTCTGGGTGGGGCTATGTTGCACATGTGACAAGAGGCATAATTTGTGAAGTCATATGGGCTGATAGAAACAGGGCGAGATTTGAAAAACGCCCACTGTCAGATGAGCCTATAGTCAGGCCGGTAGGAACATTTAGCAGACTAATAGAACCAGGATACTCGGTTCAACAGGGCCGCCGTGGGCCATTAGTAGAGTATCTGTAGGACCAGGACGCTGTCCTCTGGGCCGGTTTAGTCCCAGAAGTAGTACTTAGGTAGGAACAGGCATGAAGAAGTTTTAAAACGAGGTCGGTTGAGCAGCAGGACGATGCTAGGTGAGGGTCAGGCCGTACCGGGCTCGCATAGAGAACGGACTTTCGACTTACAGAGTGAAATATGAAGGAGCAGACGTGAAACAACATAGCCACTTCTATCGGGTGGTTCTGGACTAGGAAATGTCCTTAGGTTTGGTATTTGACAATGTAGTTGAATCTGGGACTTGGTAGACGCGAGTTCCGCAAGCTGGAGCCTGTAAGCTAAGCTGGCTGATGCTGTCAGTACCCCGGGTTGAATTGTGAGGACCCCGGCCTCGAACTATGATTTGGTATAATGATTTGCATAGTGTTAAAAAAAGAAAAAAAAAAGAAAAGAACGTCCGCACGTGGGGCAAGCAGTCCCGACGAATCAGAACTATAAATATAGCACCCTCTGAGAGGAGAGGTACAGAAGAGCTCTCATACGATCCGCCCCTAGCTCTAACCGAGTGCCTGAAGCGATTGCCATCGCTCAGACCCTACCAAACACCGGAAGAAGGAAGGAAGGAAGGAAGGTTGGAAGGAAAATGGCACACGTTGGCAAGTACGCGGACGAGCTCATCGCCACGGCGAAGAAAATTGCGACCCCTGGGAGGGGTATCCTCGCCGCTGACGAGAGTACGGGCACCATTGGGAAGAGACTGGCCAGCATCAACGTGGAGAATGTGGAATCCAACAGGAGGGCTCTGAGGGAGCTTCTCTTCACCGCTCCCGGGGCGATGCAGTACATCAGCGGCGTCATTCTGTTCGAGGAGACTCTCTACCAGAAGACGGCAGACGGGAAGCCTTTCGTCGATCTCCTCAAGGAGGCCGATGTGGTGCCCGGCATCAAGGTCGACACCGGCGTTGCGCCTCTCGCCGGCACGAAGGGCGAGACCACGACTCAAGGGCACGACGGATTGGGCGCTAGGTGTGCCAAGTACTACCAGGCGGGCGCACGGTTCGCCAAGTGGCGCGCCGTCCTGAAGATCAGCGCAGACGGATGCCCTACGCCTCTGGCAATCAAGTCGAACGCGGAGGGGCTGGCCAGGTACGCGTCCATCTGCCAGGAGAACGGGCTGGTGCCGATCGTGGAGCCGGAGATCCTGATCGACGGCACGCACGACATCGAGAAAAGCGCCGCTGTGACGGAGAAGGTCCTGGCCGCGGTGTACAAGGCTCTGAGCGACCACCACGTACTGCTGGAGGGCACGCTCCTGAAGCCGAACATGGTGACGCCGGGATCGGACGCTGCGAAGGTGGCGCCGGAGGTCGTGGGC